CTCCTGTTTTGTTCATCTTTATCATAATATTGACAACATTAGATGACAACAGGTGCTCACATAGGTTTGTGCTGATGAACATGTCTGAGCAGCTTGACCACATTGTTGTGTGTCGGGGAGGAAACACAACCACAGAGCCGTGCTGGTTTGAGCGTGTGGCTGCTCGCTGGAGTTATATCAGCTCTGTCTGGACGTTAGTTGGAAAACTTCCTCTTTAAGTCGTGAACACGTTACTGAGCGGCTAGAATCTCCGTTTCTGTGCTTCAACGTCAGAAAATAGCTGAGTGAACTCAACGCTGAGAGAGAGGAGTCTAGTTTGTCCGAGACAGCGGAGCTGCAGACACCCAACTACCCCTGACTGCCTCGGGCTGGAAAAAACACAAAGGAGGGGGCGCGTCGCCTCCGCGCTGATGCCGCAAAGCATCATGGGAGTTGAAGTCTTTGCGGTAAAATCGGCCAGCGGGCCAGTTTTAATATATTTTTTATATTTATCTCGCGGGCCACATAAAAATGCTCCGCGGGCCGCATCTGGCCCGCGGGCCTTGACTCTGACATATGTGTCCTAAAGAAACAATGATGTTTTTGACTCATTGAGGTCACTAAAGAGTCTGGGGGCTGATTCCCCCTTCAGATGTCATTAACCCAAATTGGTGGCGTTTTAAATGCTTGATTTTTAAAAAAATAACGTTTTAAATAACGTATGTATACGTACTTTTTTCCATGGTAGTGGGTTTATTTTGTTAAAACAATGTGTCCAACTTAGGAGCTTAGCTCAACATACATCATCATTTTCATTAAAAGCATATCGTTAAAGAAAGCACCACTAAAGCCATAAAGTGCACTTTTAGTTCAAGTGGACTTACACACGTGAAATCCTTGAATAACAAAGCCACGGTTGACATAAAGCAAGAGGGCTTTCCCAGGAGTTAATCAGGTCCTCTTACTCTGACCACTTGCACTACGTTGGACCTGTTGGGTCTTTGTTTGGCTTGAATTGACCTACAGAACCAACCTTACTAAGATACAACATTGGGTGCTACTGTCCAGTTTTTGTGAAGTGTGCAAAGGTTGCACGTGGAAATCATGGCAGAAACTAGACTAAGTAAAATAAAAATGACACTTCACCTCACTGGCCAGCGGGAATGGTCCCGGTGCTCCCGATGGCCAGTCCACCACTGATCACGTATACAACCTGCTGGTACTCCACCCTTGATTTTTATGATGTCATGCCTTTAGCAAGAAGGGAGTCAAAATCTACTTACGCAAACAGCAGCATGAATCACACTGGTTGATGTGCAGAAAAGCCTGAAAATAAATATTTTCATTCGCTCTTGAATCTCAGTTACACTAAAGAAAGGAGCAGTTTGTGCTACTGTTGCTTGCTGTCATATGAAAGTTGCTACACAAGAAAAGTGCAAAATAATAATAATAAATAGCCTTTTGTCATCATTTAGGACAAACAACATAAGAGAAAAAGCTCAAGTTTTGTAGTCCACTCCAAAAACCAATAGGGCAGTAAAATCAATACTGGAGAATACACCTCAAGGTATTAAATGTAAATAAGTTTTATTATGTGTACTATGAGAGTTTTACAGAAAAATGAGTACTGATCAGTTAAATCAATACTACTAGGGGTTTATTTGGCCATTACCTGTCTAATTCAACACTAAATATTTTGTGCATTTATATTGATGCTGTTTCTTTCTGCATTTTTAGGTGAATAGTAATAAATGCTGTATTCAAGCCTCTTATGGTTATCGTTATTCAAGTAATGTGTCATGCAAATAACCCCATGGACCTCTATTTGGTTATTTTCTGATTTATTTAGGTGTATATTGTATCAGTAGTGAAAGAAGAAACAACAATAACATTCAGACAAAAATAACGAGTTTAACTTGTTGTATTGTAATCTCTTTGTCTGATTCTCTGATTCAAGCACAAAAATGTTGTTATTGCGGTTTTACGAGTTTTAACGCAAAATCCACTCTTGCTAGACCCTAAATGTTCGCCAAATCTGCCCGTTGGCTTGCTGATATTTTCTCACATTTTTTCAAATTTTCAAAAATGTGTTTCTTGAACTCAGTCTGGTACACGAAAGAAGAAAAAAAGATTACATTTACTTTGGGTTAACTTTGGTTCTTTTTTTTTCTAAAGATTTAAAATTCTGTATTTTCAAAATAAAATCATTTCAAAGTAAAATCTTGCATTTGAGTTTTGATTTTTATTCATAGATGAGGTTTGTCATAGAGGGCTGACATAATTAATTATTCTTATTACCATTTGTCTCTTTCATCTGGACAAAGAACAACAGCTCTTATTGGTGGCTTCATTAGATTACGAACAGCTAATTCCCAGAAGGGGGATAGATTTGCCTGCCATGTCCGCAGCATCCACAAATCAGCCTCTGCTTTATTATGCCTCAGCAGCCCGTTAAGATGGAGCTTTCTTAAGGGAAATGTAGCCATGCCCTGCAGGATCCAACAGCCCACCCAGTGGCAGTAAATATTCACTGACATTAACCAGCTTAAGCAGCCACTTCCTGCCTGATGTGTGCTACCCTCATCCTTATTTTCCCTGTGGGCTGAGCAAATACCCTTGAAGCAGGCAGCCAGGAGCTTCCAGGCCTCTGCCAGTTGGAAAATCAGATTTCCCTGCAATGCTGAAGCTAATGAATTAAATATGAGTCATTTGCTTTTGTTTTTATTCCTACCTCCCAGAGTTAAGAGACGCTTATGTTCCTGCTGAGTCACTGTAAGCAGACGGACTAAAACTAAACTTCAGTTGGATCTTGACGTGGCAGTTAACTGCCATAGTCAGCAGGTTCTCCGAATCAGTTGTTCTCCATAGATCAATGAAGAATTTCAAGGTCAGAATTATTAAATTATCATGGTCTTGTGGGCTTTTAGCTAAATCTGGTCCTTACGAGTCACTCAGACTGTTTTTTTTTCTGTTTCGAACTGAAGAATTTCCTTAAATGGAAGTGAGAAAGTAAAAGTTGTAATTATTGCTGTTTATTTACTTGGTGGGCTGATCATTTTTTTCAAGGTCAAGATTTTCATATATGAGTTTCAAGTGGGGAGGCATTGGGTCCCATTTTTTAAAGTCTTTGGTATGACCAACTGGGATTTGTACCCTGATCTCCTATGAGGGCTTATACCACTAGACCACTGAGCTGAGCTAATTCTATTTTTGTGTGGGTGACAGCTCTATGTTTCCTTAATAATAGTAAATAAATTTATAAAATACAAAAATATTCCAGGGCTTAGCCCACAAATATCCAGAGGGAGAAATTGATGCTTTTGCTACAGTAAATCAGACCAGTTTGCTACAGTGGATGATTGGAAAGATGTTCTAATTTCTCAATAATTAGATTCAGCCTTTTGTCCCGACACAATGTGTAACAACATTATTTTGGAGATGAAGTTTGGGAGTACATTACGTCTTGTCCACATAATATAATTTTAAAATAAAACACTATGTTGTCCTGCTGACTGGATGTTTGTATCCCACAATGCTTTCTGTTTTTCTTCCTGCCTTTTTGTTTTCTATGCAGATACAGCTGCAGATTTACTGATGCAAGGCAACGGTGAGCAGTAAATGGACCATTAAAGGGCCAGAACAGGCTAGTAGCTGAAACCAATCAGCAGATGTACAGGGGTGCATTCATGCATGAGTCCATAAATAGCTGCTCTCACAACTCACTTTATAAAAGCAGAATTAATTAGTCACTGTTTTGCAGCATCTGTGAGTGTTTTTTATCCAGAGGGCTGAGAGTTGGACCTGCTCTTCCTAATGCGTAATTACCCCCTGGAACATGTACCTTTCATGAATAAAACATCCATTATTTGCTCCTGGCTTTGTGCTTGTTATACTTTTGTTATGATTAAACATTTTTCTAGAAAGATCCAGTTAGAAAGTGAGAAGAATTTCTTTTAAAAGTACTTTTGAAACTAATCAGCGGCGTTGGCTTTGATAATCCAGTGACACTGCAGCAGCTTGTCTTGTGTTCATCAAATATTTAAGTCAGCTGTTATGAAGGTCTTATCAGGTTTCTAGAGATAATTTGTACTTTATAGATGAAATTGCTAACAGTTATCACGTTTAAGAGTAGAAGTACATCTCTGGTTGACCGGCCATATATTCTGGTTTACACAAAGATCCTTCTTCCCCTTGTCCAAACTACAGCAGCTTTTAATTGTGCATGACGTGCTGCAGTAAGTTAAAGTGCCATTAGTCCTCACATACTGGTGAAATTCATCTTCGCATCCGCATGGGAGGCGGTGAGCTGCGGCTGCGCTCGGGAACTATTTGGTGTTTTAACCCCCCAATCCAACCCCTTAATGCTGAGCTTCAGCAGGGAGGTATTGAGTCCTATTTTTAAGGCCTTTGATATGACCCGAACATGGATTTGAACCCCGTTCTCCCATTCCCAGGGCGGACACTCTGAGATGTGATGTGTGCATATGTATTCCAATAGACATGCTGGCATTATGTTGGGGTGGGGCACCATACTCCCGAAAAACAAATGTTTTATTTATTTATTTATTTTTACTTACCCATTTTGTCACCCCCCTCATTGTGCCACCCTGGGCCATTGCCCAGGTCGCCCATATCAAAAACTGCTACTGTAGTTAGGGGTGTAGTTCTTACTGTAGTTAGCTAAGCCAGAGGGACATCTTGTCTTCTGCAGTCTTTGGCTTGCAGCAATAACCCAACCTGGTAACAGCTGAAACACTGCAAACAGTATTTCAATGCCACACATTGAAACCACAATAATAATAATAATAATAATAATAATAATAATAATAATAATAATAATAAAATTATATTAATAATAATGAAAATAAAAATAACTGATAAAAATATAAACACAAAAGAAAGATAAAAGTGATAAATCAAAAACAATTAGTTTTAGATGTGAAACCACTGAAAATGTGTGTAAATATATGTTTCCATTTAATTTCTTTTTTTATTTATTTCCTGTTTTAATGCTTAATTAGCCTTTCAGCCAATGAGCTCCAGGGACCGACTGCAGTCCGAATACAGTCACGTTCCCATCATGCATTGTGGAAGCAGAGAGAGGAAAGGAGGGAGGGAGAGAGTTGGCTGGGAGGCTGATCTGAGACCAGAGGAAGAAGAAGCAGCAGCATCACCCAAGCAGGAAGAAGAAGGATCATCATCCGACACTTGCTCATCATCATCACCACCATCATCTATTGCTCAGGTAAATTGTGCGTATTTTTGCGCAATTCTGGTGCGCACCACGCCTTTGTTCCAAGCCTTTGTGTTCGTGTTTTATTGCTTCCTGCTTCGGGGCTTTGCTGTTTAGAGAGAGAGAGAGAAAGGAAATTCAAGGGAGCTTCAGTTTTGTTAGGATTTATTGTTCCAGGAGAATCTGCAGACATGTTCGTCTGTGCAGCAGGGATTTCCTCCTCAGCTGTGTCTCTGCAGCCCTCAGTCCGGTCACTCCTCAGCTTTCGTGGGGGGGGGGGGGGGGGGGGGGGGGGGGGGGGGCATCTCATGGCAAGACTGGAGCAGCTGCCCACTGCATAATAAAGTCAGCATGTGGAGCGAAACTGTCTAATATCTAAACACCAAAAAGAGCTTATTGTTCAGTCAGAAAATAACTCATAGCAGCAATGTCTGATCTCATTCATCACATTATTGCCTTATTTTATAATCTTCAATTTGCTTGAGTTAGTTAACTGAAATTATCTTTTTTAACCACTGGGGGCAGAAAATCTAGATTTATGAAGAACTGTAAGGTAACACTAAGCTTTTTCAGCAAAGGACTATGGTGGCTCAGAAGGCTCAACAGAATGACAAAAGCATCAACACAACGGAGGTAATATTGAAACTGAAGTAAAACAAATTTAACCCTCCGGAGGCAGACGTTGCAGATTTGCAACGTTAAAACCTACCTACCTGGTTATGTGTATTTCGTGAGCATTTTTTAACTCAGAAGTACCCCTGAAGGACAGTTGTTCGTCCTTTTATCAAAACTTATTTTGAGCCTAAGAGGGTTAAAGGAGCAATAAGTAAGACTTTTACAGTGAAGTAATCACAAAACAGTCTGTCTCAATAGTGTCGGAAGGAAGTTACATTGAAACAGATTTCATTTTTAGCCAGCTGAGGGGATTGTCTGTTTTTCTGTTAAAGCGGGGCATATTTACTGTTTACACTGTGAGTTTGTGAGGTTGCAGGGTCAAAAGTGAGCTAACGCAGCAGCGCAGGCTTTTGTCATTTGACACCAGCAGGCAAAAAGCTACAGAGTTTTTTGAAGAACCAAAGCCAGGAAACTGGAGCGACCTAGAAGTGATTTTTGTATACACTTAAGAAGTCACAGGATATTTTTGTTTTACTCTAATATTGGTTAAAGAAGGCTAGAGGCTAATTTTGAGCTAACAATGCTAACATGGAATTAGAAACAAATACTCGGCTCTAAAAAATATCTTAATTAATCAATTACCAACAACTCAGTGTTACAGTGAAATGTATGTGTGAAGTTATTAACTCATTCACTGACAATGATGACTAAAGTCGTCATTTGCATTTTTTTTTACTGTGTGGGCACCGGAACGAGCCCCTGCACCGTGAGAACAAACATCTCAGCTCTAAAGCCGATCTTCATCCGCATACGTCACATGTCACGTGATCAGGAAGCAGAAAATCCATGTGTTAGGAGATCGTTTTGGGCCACTGCTGTAAAAAGTGAGGCACGAACCGGAAAAACTTCTGCCGATCACAATTCAACAACGGATTATGAAAGAACGGATAATACTCAAAATGCACTGATTCTTCCTGATGTAAGATGTGAGTCTCCACTTTGTTTTGGTTGTTTTGGCGTAGACATTATCCTAGCCCACAACATTCTATGACTCTTTAAAAAACTGTAAAAATGGTGAGAAACGCTGGCAGCGAAGGGCTTTACCGATCAGGAAACGGCTGGCAACGAATGAGTTAATGAGTCAACCAGGGCATTTTAATTCCTTTAATAAACCGTTCTGGACTGCAAGCTAATCAAGACAGCAAACAACAACACTTCCTGTAATTTTTGTTAGTGTTCCCTACTGTAAAACACCCAAGAGTGTTAACACCAGATAAGAACATGTATTTATCTACTTATCAACGTACTGTATGACTCGTCTTTGCTTATCATCTAGAATCTTCTGGTGCTGATCCATAACTGGCAACAACCATTAAACTCATGGAACGGGAGTAGCAAAGTATTTTTGCTTAAGAAAAGTGGGCTGCCACATTTGACTACAGGACATCATTCACACAAGTTGCACCTTTAACTGACGTTGTGGTCAACCTGAACATTGACTAAAGGGTAGGTTATGCTAATAGCTCAAGTGTGCAAACAATGTAATTAAGTGAGAGACAACAGCTTTTGGACCTGGTCATAGACTCACAACACTACTACTAGACCCAACAGCACCTCGTGGTTCCAGATGTTGATGTTGTCTCTTATTTACGTACGTTTAGGCTGTTAGAAAATAGCTTAAGTTCCATTTGGCCACAACTTATATATATATATTTATATATATATATATATATATAATTTTTTTTTTTTAAATAATAGGTTTTGTCGTGCTGTGGCTTTTGTATTTAATCAAAGCTTCTAGGCCACTGTAAATGACAGCTGTTCCTGTGCAGTAACAGTGGTAGAATTAGTGATCCCATTTGGACCTAGCAGACAGGAAAAATCAACCATGGTGTGTTTACTAACACGCTCAAAATGTCTTAGTTCATTGAAAATCTATTCTAAATATATTAGCAGTTGAAACAGCAGCAGGTGTCTCTGGTGACATGCACAGGAAAACCACAATTTGATTTCTTCCATATTAATTGCATATTGTGAAAAGAATGAAGTACAGAAATTTCTAGAATAAGTTTTACGTGAATTTTTATTATATTTTTCAGATTGGAGATGTTTTAAGATGACAGCTGGGCAGAGGAAAAGAGGCAACAAAGTTCAGTAAAACTAAAAGCAGGACCTCCACAAGCTTCACAATGCTAAAATACATCACTGTGGATCTGAAAATACCCAGTTACATTTGTCTTTCACATTTAGCACAATAAAAAAGTATAACTTTTAATGAAAGTTAAACACCGTAAAATTATGTGCTACTGTAACATTTTTCTCTGAGGATGAAAGATGATTGAGAAGTAGAAAATCCCATCTCATAAAATAGCCTAATATTTAGTTTTCTAACTGTCATGTTGTGGTGTAAATAACGACATACCGAATCAACACGGAGACCTGGGTAAAAGGTTTAAATAATTTATTCAAAGGGGAACCAAGGGAGCAGCATAAACGTAGCTGAGATCTTCAAACTGGAATCCGGTGAGGGGATCTGCGGACAGATAAAAGTTAGATCCAACTCGAGGGTGGGAACAGGGAATCAGAATTATGTAGAGGACTTAGTCTGGATAGAAGAAGAAGAAGAAAATATCATTTCTATAGCGCCTCTCAAGATAAAAATCACGAGGCGCTTAAATAGAGGGAATCGCTCGAAGAGGGAGTGGTCCGTTCTGGGTTGAAGGGGTTATCCTGAGGCTGAGATCCAGAGAGAGACGTGGAGGGAGCTGAGCTTGAAAACATGTAAATCCAGGAGGGCATAGGTGGGCCACCGGAGGTGGTTCTGGCCAGGGAGAGACTGAGGGACGAGCAGGGTTGGAGTTCCAGAATGCTGACAGTCTGAGATGAGGGTGTAGGTTTGTCTGGGAACAAGAGCAGGAAGGTAAAAATGCTAAACTCCAATATTCAAAAACGTATCAAAACCTCAAAAGGTCTAAGAGCTCGAATATAATTCGCAAAGTGGCTGTTAGAAGGTACCCAGGTAGAGTAATCTTCCAGCGAAGTGAAGGTGTCTCTCAGCTGCTTAAATACTCCCTGACCGGCTGATGAGCAGACAGTCTGCAGCTTGGCCACCTCCGGACACACCCACCCGCAGAAGGAAACTCAAAACCAAAGAGTGATGGCAGAAACAACCCAGACCATGACACTAACGAGCTAAAAGGCCATGGTGAATGGGAACTTGCCTGTAACATTGTGATACCGGCCACAAATTAATTTTTAATGTTTACGTAGGAACAGATAGTTACAGTTATTCCAGCATTCAAGCTCACTTCTAAATATAAATTCATAGTGATGTATAATATTAAATTACCACATGAAATATTCATTCAGCCATCAGGAAGCAGACACAAGATCTGCTCGTAATAGTTATCTACCTTTCTCCCAACAGATGCCCCTCAGCAGGAGAGGCTAGCTGTAGCTGCTAATGATCACTGGTGTCTGGCCAAGACGCTAAGTGATGAATTACACAATACCGGTGACCTTTATCTGCTCAATGAGCTCATTTCCAGTCGATATCCATCAGCTTCATGGAGAAAACTGACGGGATTGTAAGTCTAGAATCCAAAACCTTGCCTTAATGAATACATAAAAATGCTGCAGATTTCCATTTTGTTAGGAAAATTAATCCATTGGTTTGTTGGTCAGAGAAAAGGCATTTGTTATCTACTGAGTAGTTATTTAAAGTTTGGAAGAGCCAGCCGTATTTAGCTTTTCCAACACATAATTGACTCATCCGGTGGATGCTTTTTCCCTTGAGAGCTAAGAGAGGATTTCACTTGAACTCAGGATTTTTGCGTTTGAGTCTAATGAACCTGTCTGTTTGCTGCAGTGGCGTCTGCCTCTTGCTTTATAGTATGTTTAAACTAATGTGGCGTCTGCTGTGAGAAGTGCTGGGAGGTCACAGTGGTGACTCAGCTGTGACACCTCTCCTCACCAGCCCGTGACTGCTGCAGGAGACTGAGACTGGGGTGTCGCAGAGCTCGTTGTGACACTGCAGTCGACATTGTTCACAGTTCAATTATAGCTTTCTCTCTCGCGTGCAGGCTGTTCTAACCCAGAAGGCACCTAGAGTTTGCTGTGTATATGTGACCCTTTTTGTGGTTTTCTTTTTAAAAAATTGGAACAAAATAGAAGCTTGGTCCATTTTGGTGCAGCAGATTCAACCACCTGAGGCATTTTACAAGTTTTGAACGGCTCATTAAAGTAAGCTGCAGGTTTCTTCACAACCTCACCCAGCAACAAGCAGAACATGCACCGTTTGAAAAGGTGGCTGTTTATATTGTGTCTTTGTTAAAGGGTCTTACAAGTAATCTTTTAAGGAAATTATGTAGCAAATCAGCTAATGTATATTTTTAATT